TACCAAATATATCTAATTCTAAAAGCACCTATTGATAAAAATATTCGATTTTTTGCATCAATGATGTTTTTTTAAATGTATTGATTCCAGAATCCCACAAAATATGAATGTGCATTATGTATTGTAATGAATACGTATGTCATCACATCAAGTATGTCATTGTAATTTATAAATCAAAAGAAAACAAAAACAACAACAACGCTATTAAAAATACTTTTTTTTGTGTCAAAAATGAGGATATTTAATTTGCAAAAACGACATTACAAAAATTATTCAAAAAATAAATACTTACATTGGCTCTAATTTTTTGTCTAACTGATGACAAATAATGTCAAACGTCAAAATACACACATTTGTACGAAGCTGTCAAAATAAGCTACAAAAAACACGTTTTTAGTGCTGCTCTGCTGTTTCTGCAATAATTTGCGGAAAAACCGTCTCCACTTTTTCTGTGAGTGTTAATATTAAATTTAATTGTTATAACTCTTTACAAAAGCAATAAATATATCGATTCGCTTCAAAGCGTTGACGAATAAACAAATTCATGATGGCCGACCTCAATAATCATCATAAATGAACCATGATGTACGACCAAAATAACTATGTTTACAGTTGGAAATTATGAAAAAGATGGAAAATAGGATAAAAATTGGGTAAAAATCCGTGTTGAACAGTGACGGCCGTCTATGATGTGACCTATGTTCATCCATACCAAAACATTTCGAACGATACACCAATCATTCAGATCGGTTGAACCGTTTGACCGTTATCCCGGAACAAACATACATAGATAGAAATGTTTTTTCTCTTTATTCAGAAAATCATATAATTACCATTCCAAGCAGCCCAGTGAAGTGGCGTTTGTTTGTAGTAATCTCCTGCTTTCGTATTGGCACCTTTTTCGATAAGAATTTTGATTATATCCAATTGACCTAGAGTGTATGAAAAGTGATGAGATTTAATTTATTAAGGATATTTCCACATTATTCGGAAAAGTGTATAATCACCATTCGAAGCAGCCTTATGAAGTGGTGTTTTGTTTAACCAATCTTCTGCATTTACATTGGCACCGCTTTCGAGAAGAATTTTGACTGCATCTGTTTGACCTAGAAAGCAGAACAATTAAACTTTATTAAGAATTTTTCCTCTTTATTCCGAACAGTTTATAATTACCATTCCAAGCAGCCTTGTGAAGTGGCGTTTCTTTATTTTCATTTTTCGCATCTACATTAGCACCTTTTTCAATTAGAAATTTGAGTGTATTTGTGTGGCCTAGACATGAAAAGTAATTAGATTAAATTTTTTGGATTCTTTTTTTCGATTCGGAAAAGAGTATGATTACCATTCTCAGCAGCCCCATGAAGTGTTTCATTTTTCCAATCTTTGGCGTTCACGTTGGCAACTTTTTCGATTGGATTTGCATAAGGGTAACCTAGAAAGTATGAAAAGTAAATTCCCAGCAATTAATTACTTTCTTTATTCAAATATTTTAAATTACAGCCAAAATGTTAACGCAAACATTTTTTCGAAACACCTTTTCCGAGAATATTATAAGCAAATAAAGAACCTCTTTCGGGGTGAAGAACGAGTGATGAAACCAAAATTTGTAAAACAAATTCTCTGATATCGATTTTCTAACGAAAATTGTTGGTAGATCAATTTTGTGACGTTGCAGAAAATCCACCCTTTTTACTATCAGTATGGACTACTGACGGAATGCAAGGACCATATTTTGAAGACAAGTGGAACGATCTTCAAAATTCAATGATTTTTCTTAATCTATGGTCCAAGGACTTTTAAACCATACATCGTGTCCAAAGGCCTTCTAGGCATGGATTTCGGATATTTCGTGTATATATGGCGAGTCGACTTTTTACCACACGGTTTCGTCGCTCGCGCGAACTTTTCAAAGTAATTCGTCCGTCACCGATTCAATTCATTCATTCGTATTCACTCAAAGATCTCGTTGAAATGGTTATCGTTATAAGCTTTTGCAATAAATAAGATTGCACAGAAGACAGGTGTCTCCTAATAAAAAATTCACATCACAGCGGACGGCAGTTCGCGCGAGTGACGAAACCACATTAGTGTGTTGAAAATTCGAACTCGCATATACACGGAATATACGAAATCCAGACCTAGAAGGCCATTGGCCCCGGTTGATGTATGGTTGGAAACAGAGTATTGCTCAGCGCTGCTGCCATCCACAGCATTTTAAAATATTATGCTGAGAATGCGTCGTCCGTCGCATGCGGAGGTACGTAGCAGTTTTTACATCACCGCGAACAACAATACATGCAGTGTTCTCTATACAATCGTTTGAATGTTTTGAGTCACATAATCGTGAAGAGAACAATGCATTCATTCTAGTTCGCTGTGATGTATAAACTGCTACGTACATTCGCATGCGACGGACGACGCATTCTCAGCAAGATATTTTAATATGCTGTGGATAGCAGCAGCGCTGAGCAATACTCTGGTTGGAAAGCCCTTGGGCCATAGATCAAGAAAAAATATAAAAGTTTGAAAATCGGTCCACCTGTCTTCAAAATATGGTCCTTTCAAAAAAGGGTCAAAATTCAGTTTCATGATCATAGTTGGCACTAAATGAGGTCGTTGACCTCTGAAACATCGATATTCTGATTCTAGAGCTCAATACCTTTCCAACGACCCCCTAACCGTCGAAATCGCTTAATCCGTTCGAAAAATTTATTATTTTAAAAATTTCATATGAATATCTATGAAAAATCAAAATGTCTGTCTGTGGCCAATTTGCGTAGTTGCGTCCGGCACTTTTCGATTTGGCCGCCATGTTGGCCGTGGCCGGCCTCCAAAAGTAACTTCTCGACTTTTGTCCCTACATTCACCGAGGCACATCCACTTGACACACCCCGGACATATGCACCTCTATTTATATGTACCATACAAATGAATCGTTGCGGCAAAACAGTAGCTCTTATTTTTCTCCAAATAATACTGCAACATGAAGTTTTTTTCACACGGTTTATTTGTTGTAATACAACAAATAAACTATTCATAAAAAACTTTATGTTGCAGTATTATTTGGAGAAAAATAAGAGCTACTTTTTCGCAGCAACGATTCAAATGTATATTAAGTTTATATTCACAGTACACAGAAAAAATATCTACCATTGGTAGTACCAACTATTTTCGTCACAAAATTATTATCAGAAATTTTGTGATTCAAATTTTGGTTTCGTCACTCGTTCTTCAACTCGATAGAGGTTTTTTATTTGATTTAATCATGACATCAAACACCTATATTTCCATATGTTAAGCCATCAAACCATTTCGCAGATTTTTTTTTGAGAAAATGAAATAATTGAATCAACAGCTTGATTGGATAGGTGATCGTATTTCGCTGAATAAGTGCTTGAAATCATTATCAGACACAGCTAATATTATTAGTCATCATATGTACAAAGTTTTTCTTTGAATCTCTTCAACAGCAGATACTTTCTGTTTAAAATAATGATAATTATTCATTTTAATTCTTCTTATTTGTTTATTTACCATTGATTGAAGAAAAATTCACAATTATTAAGGCGATGAGAAGGTTTGGCCAATTCAATTTGGTTTGCGACATCTTGGTACTATAAATGCTCTATTTAATAAAATGTACTACTAAAATTCACGATTTGAAGTAAAATGTAAAATTCAACTTTAATTATTTTAAAATTTGTTCAATCACAGCCAAAATCAATTACGCACACTTTTTTCAACGAATCACTTTATTATTTTATAAATAGAATATTATAAAAAGCCAATATTTATCACTTAACAAACTCTTTCCAACGTCATTCGCTTACTGACCAAACACGCGTATTCGTTGATCGTTATATATGTTTGCGAAGCTATGGATATAGCGGCTGATATTTCACAGGCGCTATATAATTCGCGTGATATTTGTGATCTTCGTTTCTGCATATTGTTATTTTCTTCATCTCTCTCTCGTTTTTATAAACTCACATTCAAATATACAGTAGAATAGTAGGGCTATGCTATTCCTGCTCAGTGTTACACACAGACACACGAGTTAAATAGCACCTATGAATAGCGGCTATGAAGCCGCTATATCCATAGCCTGAGTATAATGTCTGGTCTCCGCAGCCAAAATTCAATATGATTAAACTTGTTTGCAATTCCGAATTTAATCATCATATCATTTTTGATTCTTCGAACCACGTTCACAGCATTCAAAACAAATAAAACTTCATGTCACATCAGTTGTATAAACACATGCATTTAGGTATCATTTAAAAATATAAAACGACTGTTTATCTCCAAGAAATGTGACAATTCAACCAAAAACTTGATTATATAAGATCGCATTTGGTTTATTGAAATTTCGATATTTTTTCGTCGAATGTTTACGTCAATAATATTGAACAAGAAAAATATTTACTTGGTTATTGAAAAATTGTGCTTTTCTTAAGAAATGTGCTGAAGTGAAATCATTTTTGGTAGATATGCCAAAATTCATTCTACTGTTTTGGTTGGTTTTGATGAAGTAAATATTTAAAAATATATCCAGAATGTGTAAATTTTTTTATATTATTTCTCCCGCAGATTTTTTAGACCCAAGAAAGTTAAATTTTTACTGGAATACTTTTCAGTCGTCGTTTTAGTCAAAAAAAAATATTCTATTTTCTGATCCAAATTATGTTATGTATATGCAAGTCTTCTTGGGTGTGCGCGCTCGATTCCACAAAAATTTTGAACAATTTATTGTTTATTTTAATATATAAAAACCCTCAAAAATGGTTTTTGTAGGCGACAAAATTCAAAATGGATTTTTTTAGAAAAAACCTCATCAAACTTGATTGGGATGCTTTCAATTTAAAAACTGCTAAATTACCTTGTTTTGAGAGCCACGTTTCACGTTTCTTATTTCGTGCTTGCGAATTAGCTTCCTTTTTGATTGTTTCGACGTAGCCCGAAAAGACATTTCAAACAATAAGAAGATTTTTTGGCCATCACGGGGTGTTATTAATTTCTTTCTTCTCCTGAACCATATTCTTAACTGGTGTTTCTGGCATAATAATGTGTAATTATATCGGTTTCGTGCGTTGCGAATGATATTTAAAGATGATCACAGCTCATGTACCTCTCGATCTCTGACCGAAACATTTAATCAAATTTGCAATTAATTACGAAAATAAGTGTGAATATTTAAATAGTAATCGATTAGTTACTCCATTTAAAAAAAGGATTTCTCGCATCTCAAAATGAAGCTATTTGTTATTGGATAGCTTTATATTCGTGCAACTATTTTCTAAACCGCTTCCATTTCACAAACTTAGCATTTTTTCATAGAAAATATTCACTTTTTCATATGGAGACGGTCAAAATGTCCTTTTTATGTAAATCATTCAAAAGTATTTTCAATGGAATCATATTCACGGCCAATCGATTGATAGCAGAAAAACCATCGTTAATGATCCTTTTATCAATAAAATTTATTGTAGAAACATGTTGAAGCTTCACTGTTTTTCAATGTAATACTACGAATAATTCGTAACATTATTTGAGAGGATAATCAAAGATTTTTTCTCTGGAACACGTTTATTCTTTACGTCTTTCTATCTTTTTATTATTAAATATCAAAAAGGTTGAATAAATAAATTTTGATGTAGTAGCCAATATACCAATTTGAGTTCAGATCAAAAACATATTATAATAATATAAATTGTATTTGGGTGGATTGAGTATTTCAGGTAGTTTGGTAGAATATTGTCGGAGAAGTCTGATGGTGGGATGTTTAGCGATGCAGAATTTCTTCAAAATCGATTAGTATTTGTGTGCGTTTGCTGCAAACTCGACAACTCATCATTCTCCACTACAAGTGCAAATAATTTTTATATGGTGCCGACTCGCTTCAATTTTAAATTAAATTAAAAATTGTCCTCAATACAAAAAAATCACTTAGTGTATCCAAAATCAAATAGTAACCGAGCCAAAGTGTTGTCATAATTTATTGGCCAAATAAAAAAATATTTACTATTTAGGTTGAATCAGGGAATTTGCAAATCTGATGAAATTCGAGTAATGCAAAAAACAAAGACAAAAACAATAACAATATCAAACAGAGTATGTGCGTTAGTCAAAGTATTGAAGTTTTTTCTGTTGAGCTTAACAAATATCTACGAAAATTGTGGAAACGGTAATTATAACGTTTCATATTCGATTTAAGTTTGTTGATCAATGAATTTCGGTTTGAATATTATACACTCCATTTGAAAAGAAAAGTTTAATTTGAAACAAGCTTTTTACGGAACGCAACGAATCCTTCGAAAAGAAAAGCTCAAATTTGTATCTGTGTTAACATTGTAAGATTTGAACATAGAAATTCAAAATATGTACTTGATGGTATTATGTTGGAAGTATATGTGTTAATCCATCTTGGTTAAATCGGTGGCATGGAATTAAATTGTCCAAATTAATAAATAATTAATTGGCGATATTTGTGAATAAACATAGATAAAAGATGGATGTTAAAACACAGACGATTATTTTGGATACATTTTTATCACTGCAAAACTTTGCGAAAAATCTTACACTTTAACGCTAAAATTAAGCTTGGTCAATTAATTCACTAGAGCGAAAATTTCGGATTAATCCGAATTGTTTGACAAGATACTCTTTTGCAACGGTTTCATGTATTTTGATGATAACATTTAATTGGTACGTTAACGCATTTACAGCAAAATTAGATACTGCTTTCATTTCGTTCTAATTGCGTCGATAAGATTGAGGCAACAAATTTCTAGCTCAATTCAAATCAAATGAAATAAAAATACCATTATATTGAGATAGCAAAATAGACTTATTTAATGTCAATCTTTTGTATGTATTTCGAGCAGTTTACCGCTCATCACATTTCTAGCTATTGAAAGATGATAAGTTGGATGATTTCACAAGCAAGGACACCATTTTTTTAATATTTCAATTTTTATATAGTCCAAAACTGAACATTTCAGATATCATGGGGGGGTTTATCTCACCCTTTGAACATCACTACTATATACAGACCAATACAGCACAACCAATAAATCTGTATGAAATGTTGGCCGCAATCGCGCAACTTCAAAATATAAAGAAATGACGCGATAATCACAGGAATCCGTTAGAGGAAATTGTCCAATCGTCTACTGAATTTGTTTATTTAATTGGTACTGTCTCAACTTTAAGAGTGAGGTGACGAAGAAAAATACTAAGAAATGATATGAACAATTTTTGAACTGTCTACTGCGATATACGAAATACTTTTAAGATATTAAATGCGCCTTAAAAATGGCTAGTGTTTCATTTTTCACTATTCCATTCAAGTATTATTTTCGATTAACATTATTCTCATTTCGATCCATTCAGTCTCTATGTGACTTCCGAAAAAGAATCATAGAATCTTCGCCAAAGTTCTGTAAAATATTCTAGAAAATGCTAACATTTCTTATTAATGCTGTTAATATGAGCGTCATTTACCAATAAGTTGGAGAAAAATTCATTCGGCTTTATTCTAATAATTTAAATACAATTCTGTTTGAATATTGAGAGATCGAGTATTCCAGTCATACGTCCTCAAGGGAAAAATTTAAGGGGGGGTAATTGAAAAAAATCGAGAAGGGTAAGCAAAAAAGTGTATTTTGCGAAAAGTGTACTTTTTTCGTTTTTTTTTTTGCTCGGACCCCTGCCGGACGTATGATTCCAGTCAGCAATTGCGTATAAAATGTTTAATCATATATTCTGATTTTCTACTGAAACATCCATGATAAAAATGATTCTGGCTGAAAAGCAAGAATAGATGCAAAGCTTACCAAGTAATATTGTTTTGTCGCTTGTTTGAAAAGAAACGTTTAAATTCTCAAACTACATTTGGTCGAGATTTATCTCTAATAAAAGTGAAAAAAGCATAAAAATACGTGAAATTTTTTCAAAAATATGACTTTTACATTGCCACATTTGATTTGCATAAGAATGTAATAAAATTTATAAAATCAAGATTTCAAAATAGTCTCTAGCACTGAGTAACACCGTATGAGAAATTCCATAAATTTTGATTAGGAATAAAATAAGAAATCAAACTATTTGATTTTTGCGATCAAAAAATTATTTGTCAATAAATTCTAAAATGGATCTAATGCGCTCACCACTGCGCACTTTTATAATACCATATATTCTATCCGATGTTGTATACCCAAGATCTTCAATCAAACTAGGTTACTTTAAAACATAGTATGTAAGGGGTTAAGTTACAAATATCATTCTCTCATTCCTACTGGAAATGTTATGAAGCGTCAATACAGTTATGGTTGACTCTATCCAGTGTAAATGTTTAGTTTTGGCTTCACGAAAGAGCGTAACGACACATACAATAAACGTACATTCGTGGCATAAACACGTACCTACAAAGTTACGATGATGAATAGCAACTTTTCAATAGCCGCAAATTATTTCCAGTAATTAATTAGTTTTCTCGTGTCTAGATCAGATAAACTATACAAAATCGTAAGCAAAGATGAAAATTCCTTAAAATCAATATAATCTGTCTATATACATGGCCAAAATGTTTGTAAGAAGAAAGTATTGTGCAACAAAAAC